GCCTTCAGTAGTGGGAGAACAGATTCCCTCATGGCCTTATACCACTCCGGAGGGAACCCATCACAGCCCGGTGATTTGTTGGTCTTAAGATTGGATATCCCTCGATCAACTTCTTCGGCTGATATTTCTGCCATTAACTTATCATTTTGTTTTTTTCCTATAGATGGAAGATCCAAAGAGTKAAGAAATTTTTGAATTGTTTGATTGTCCATTTTGTCCGGCTGTGTGTACAGAGCTGCATAATACCCTTCAAATGAACTCTGAATTTCTTCAAGTTTACTAGTTATCTTRTTGGTTCTTGGGTTCCGAATTTTATAGATTGTGTTTATTTTTTAGTCTTTTTGACTACTGTTTATTTATAAGTAACATTGAAAGTGTTATTCAGTTAATTATCTTTGTCTCTAGGGACTGTGGCAGTGTGCAAGGTACTTGTAAAGATGAAGCCTCCATTATGTATGCCTGGGCTCGGAATGCCCCACCAACAAAGCTTCCCAAGGGTAAGATTCAAATGAATGGTTGATAATTTGTTAGTTATATTCATTCACAAACCTAAATTGTGTTGAAGCGTCGTGGAAATTTTTATTTCACCTAGACAGAAACACGAGATCCAAGAATAAAAAGCACTCTCTGAAAATGGTCAATAGGATTTATTGCAATTTGCAAGACACACATCATGTCACACAGGGCAGTGGTACACAATGTGTGCACTGAGGCAGTTTCAAATACACTCATTTATACAGTATATTATTAAGACAGACAATAAACATCTTTCTTGGTGCTGAAACTGGGCCAAGGAGAGAATGATGTTTGATAAACAGCAACAAGAACGATTACTTCTAACAGATATTGTCCTGATCTTAAAACACTTTATTTGAGAGAAAACAGAAGATAAAAAGTAAAATCATAAAACATGATGACATTTTAAGGTAAGCAAAAGAGGTTACTGACTCTTGGCCTGAGAAGAGATGTAGGACCTTAAAGAATAATTTATTTTTCCAAGACAGAAGCCATGAGTCATGTGGTTGTTATTGGGAGAGGTCTGGCTCAAACGATCACTCGAGCCTGGAGGTGTGAGTTTTGTTTCAATTATATTCAATTTAAAGCTTCTCCTTTAAAACGCCTCAATTGAACAAAGTGCTGTACAGTGCGATGCAGTAAAACTAATTTACAACTAATTCAATAATACTATAAATTTAAGATAAAAGAAGATAAACAAGAATAAAACAAAACCATATAAATCACTATATATTGTAATAACCCTGCATGATTCACAGAAGTACTCACTGATGTCATACAAATTAAAAATAAGCTTCATTTTTAGGACCTTCAAAAGAATTGAAGGTAACAAAACCCTCTGCTCTCTGACAAGATATGCTGTTGAGTTCCAATCAATCAGTTTAATATACAAGGACATGGTGAAATCTTGAAGCAGTTTTTCTGTTGGAATGACATTAAGAGAAGGTCGAGGTGGAGTAGTAATGTAATCCATTACATTACTACCCATTTTATTGTTAACTTTTTACAAATTGTCAACAGCTGTCAACAACTATAGTTTTTTTCTTTCATAAACTATTTTTAATATGCATGTAATCTTTTATTTGGTGTTTGGCTTGATGTTTTAGTACCATTTGTGAACAGCTTTTTCTTGTTTTTTTTTTTTTTTTTTTCAGGTGTTGGGTTTAGAGTTGGAAAAAACTCAGGAATGTCCCACTTTGTGCTGCAGATTCATTATGGAGATGTCAGTGCTTTCAGAGGTGAGTACTGAAAATCAAATCAAACTAATGGTATATTAAATTCTATGCAATTCAAAAATTAGCCCTTAAAGGAATCCATGGTTAGTTGTAACATTAGACTTTATTTAATAAACATATATTT